GTACTTGGGGGGAGAAAAGATCGGAACCAAAACTAAAAAATCACGTCGAGCTTGTGGAACTTCTTGGAATTGCAGATCTGAAAAGAGGTATTACAATGATTTGATTTAGTTGTCTCTTTTAAGATGCCTATACAATATGAACATGAATGTTCTATAACCCCATGAACTGATATGTCCATGGAAGGAAATATAGACGGGGCATAGTAATGATAGAGCATTAGAGAGTTGGTAAGAATTGGTATATATGTTGGTTATGTATGTCATTCCAAAATTAAGTATCATAAGTCTATTTGCTGCTGATCGATCCGACTTGAAGCATTGCAACCATAGATGGAAAAATAATAAACTTTACRCTCTTACTTAATTGTTCTATATTGCTGCAATTTGTTGCAGTAAGTTTCGTGGCTAATGCATCTATCCTTTTTGATATTCAGGTGCTAATGTAGCTGGGGGTAGAGGATTTTATTTGAAAGGAGATGGTGTCCGTCTCAATCAAGCTCTTATAAATTTTGGTCTTGATTTTTTGGAGAAAAGGGGCTATACATCACTGCAGACTCCATTCTTTATGAGGAAAGATATAATGGGAAAATGCGCTCAATTAGCACAATTTGATGAAGAACTGTACAAGGTATAGCATGCTTCCAATTTCGGGGAATATTTGCAATCTCCTACTTAAATATAATCTATATAAAGCAAGATGAAGTTTGCAGTCATAAATCTGTTATTGATCATTGCAAAGGTCAGGAGTGTCAAATGCTTGCTAGACTATATGACCCCCAATTTTTTTTTTGGATTAGCAAGAACAAGGGGTCGTTTACCAAACGTTTATCTGGGTAAGCGCTTACCAAGTCATATTGCCTTGCCGGATGAAAATGGTAACGACCAAGAATCTTACCCGGTAAAAACGAGTCAAGGACCAAGAGTCTTACCCGGTAAGTGAAGGCGATGATTCTTACCACTGTTAGCGCATACCTGGTAAATTGTTGCATACGATGTCATTTTGTTAGACTACAATCTTACCAGGTAAGTAAGTGATGGTGTTAGAATTTTACCGGTAAGCGCTTACCGGGTAAACGTTTGGTAAACGGCCCCTAAGTAACTGGGCCAAATATTAGTATTTTCACTTGCATCACCCATATTTAGGTGATCCTAATTGGGGGAAGTTCAAATGAGAACCGTTAATATTTTGAGAACCTCGGAACCAWCTATTTTATGAATTATTCATGATGAATAACTATATTATTCATCATGGATGCCATGAGGTTCATTATTTATGATATTCGTCTTGTATAATTCATGGATAGTTGGTTCTCATGTTSTCAAAATATTTACAWTTSTCATTTGAACCYGCCCTATTAAATTGTATGGAGAGATCTTGCAATGCGTTCAGTGATTATACACACTTGTATATGGTGATCTATTCTATTCTGTTACATTATCTGTGTTCTACATTTTGTTGGCCCCATCCTAGTGCTTGTGACAAAGTAAATGGGACCCACGATCACATCGGCACTTCTCACACCATGTAAGACAAGAAGATATGTTGAAATGTTAAACACCATAAATGAAGATAACAGAACAGTGGAGATGCAAGCGTCTGCTGCCATGCAACAAGCATATTATTTTTCCACAACTCGCTCTTTAATCTYGACTGCWTTATATATCATGCAATCACACTTTATATGGTTACTGAGTGAGGCATGACCACTTAATTCTGCATCTTTGATAGGTAACAGGCGAGGGAGATGACAAGTATCTGATTGCCACTGCGGAACAACCACTTTGTGCCTATCACATAGATGATTGGATTCATCCAACACAGCTCCCCTTAAGGTCTCATTAATAACCCTTTTCAGGAAAAGAATTACTTTCTTAACTGTAAGTACATGTATATATATACTATTCTCTTTTTGGTCAACTGATATTRGAAAACTTGCCAGATATGCTGGATATTCGTCTTGCTTCCGTAAAGAGGCTGGTTCACATGGCCGAGACACTCTTGGTATTTTCCGTGTTCATCAGTTTGAGAAGGTTGAACAGTTCTGCATTACCAGCCCAAATGGCAATGATTCTTGGGAAATGCATGAGGAGATGATCAAAAACTCAGAGGAATTCTATCAGATGGTAAGTATTTCATCACTATCTTATTTTATATGAATGATATGCTTTCTTCCTTGTTTGATGCATATGTTAGGGAAAATTGCACCAAAATGGAACCAACTTTCACCTGATTCCTATTTTGGGGAACCAATTTTCAAAATCGTTATTTTGGGGAACCAACTTGCACTTGATTCCTATTTTGGGGAACCAACTTGCATCTGANTTGATTCCTATTTTGGGGAACCAACTTGCATCTGATTCCTATTTTGGGGAACCAATTTTCAAAATCGTCATTTTAGGGAACAACTTGCACCTGATTCCTAATTTGTAGAACCAACTTGCAAAATAATTTAGAAAAGTAATTAAAATTTGTGTTTTTAAAAAAATTAATGCAATAAAATCTATTTTTCATTTCAAATCTCGTTTTTTTAAATTCAGATATCAAATTGAAGATTTTTTCAAAAAAAATCCAAATTATCACAATAAAAATTGTTTTTTACTAATGCAATAAAAAAATCAATTTAATAGAAAAAAATTAATTGATGCAATAAAAAATAAATATTAGATCACATTCAAGATTTTTATATCTAAACAATCCGTATCAATATTAAAATTTAAATCAAATTTGGCAAATCAAACCAAAGGTTTGATAGAGACCCTTAAATTACCTGTTACCTGTTCAACAGATCAACCAAACCTTTAAATAAACAAAAAGTTTGATAGAGACCCCCTAAATGGCAATTTTGAAAGTTAGTTCCCCATAATAGTAATCAGGTGAAAGTTGGTTCCATTTTGGTGCAATTTTCCCCATATGTTAAATATTTAATATTTAGTCTTACATAATGAACCACCTAATAGTAATGGGGATTACTTCTGGCTCAGCCTCAAAATAGAGTTTAATTTTATATAGGGAACTTTAAAACCCCAAGCAAGCAAATATTCCTTCTGTGTATATATGCATATGCACCTATAAGTGTRGTGATTTCTTGGTTTTATGCTACGTGAGGACATGCTTTAGCATTTGCATYGATACAAACCTACATACAATGAGACGTTGGTTTTGCTCTGTTTGTAATTTTTCTTAGTTTTTGTCTAAAGTCATAATGGAATTTTGTACTGCAGTTGAAATTGCCATATCATATAGTGTCTATAGTTTCTGGTGCGCTAAATGATGCTGCGGCAAAGAAGTACGACTTGGAAGCATGGTTTCCCGCATCCAGCACTTACAGAGAACTTGTGTCTTGTTCAAACTGCACGGATTACCAATCAAGAAAATTGGAGATCAGGTTTGGACAAAAGAAGGTTGGTTTTCTTTCATGATCATCTTATGGAACATACATGTGGGTTTAGGGGGTGTGAGATATGCAGGACAGGACATATGACATAACAAAAACTTGTTGTCTCACGTTTGGTGCAACAATTAAACTGGGACTGGACATAACTGCGTGGAAGATAAATGCATATTTTTGTCCCATCAAAAGAGGTGGAACAGAAGGGTGTTGCTTTATGTACAACTATTTACATCAAAATCAGTTCAAACCATACATTGAAAATGTAAAAAATGTGTTCAGATGTTGACACGTGTGAGGATGATGTTAATGGGTAGGTGTGCAATTAGCAATCGAATAATAGGTGTGCATTTAGCCTACCCCGGAACAAAAATTAGGCAGATGGTTCACAGTAAATTACCGAACTACCCATACCAGACTAAAACCCTAAACTTCCACGTTTCTCTCACTCGCCTACCTTAATTGTTATTTTCCAATATTTCATGAAGAGGAATGTTGATTTTTGAGCTGAATTTGCAGAGCAATGAACAAATGAAGCAATACTGCCATCTATTGAATTCCACACTGACAGCAACAGAGAGGACCATGTGCTGCATTCTTGAGAACTACCAAAGGGAAGATGGTGTGGAAATACCAGAAGTACTACAGCCATTTATGGGTGGAAAGACGTTTATGCCCTTCCAAGCCCCACCTCCAACCAAAGAAACAACAAAAGGGAAGAAATCAAAAGCATAGTAGGTGAAGCATTTTATAAGAGATATTTATATGGCTCTTTTTGGTGTTTGCTACAAGATGAATAGGATTTTTATCACATTCTTGTTATAATACTCTTTTAAGAATGATTGCTTCAATTTGTACTGCTACAATGGTTTTTTGTGTTCATTAGTTTTTGGATTTTCCCTCTTTCTTGATGATTTTCTTTTTTTCCTCATGCTTGTGGAAAATATCAAGGCCTTCAAATTCAATATTCGTAGTAATCATAAATGTTTTGAGAATCTAATAATCAACTATTCATGATGGATCTTCATAATGTATGCGGAGTGAAAATGCATGATATTTATGGTTGATTTGATTATGAATAATTTGTAAAATAGTAGGTACTAAGGGGCGGCTTGGTTTGCGGAATTAGATTGAATTGCAATGACGAATTCCTTTGATTTAATTCCAATTCTTTTGTTTGGTTCATTTCTTGAAATGTATGTAATCTTTTAAATTTCATTGAATTTCACAAATATATTCATCATTCCTTGCTATAATGGAAGAAATTGAATTTTATCACTACCCACCACGACCATGCTACTATTGTTCGTCATGCCTCAATCTTAACCTCCCCCTACCATATCACTACTGTCGCCGTCACCCACCCCACCCCACTCCACCCTACCCCACTCCACTATTAACTACCATGCCACTATTGTTGTCATCACACCCACCCACCCCTCGATCATTTACTGCACATCCTTACTATGACCATGCTACTACCGTTACTGTCACGCCCCTAACTTAACCCCCACCACCACACCATTATTGTCGCTGTTACAACTGCTATTCACCCCACCCTACCCCCACACCACCCTACCCTACCCTACCATGAACCACCATGCCACTTCTATCGTCGTCATACCCACCCACTCCTAGTCACCGACCACCATCCCACTATTGTCATTGTCACAGCTAACACCCCACCACCATCTCCATCGTCCCGTCCTACCAAAGTTAACATAATAATCTTGGTTAACATTTGAACCAGCCCCTATATATATATATATATATATAGAGAGAGAGAGAGAGAGAGAGAGAGAGAGTTGGGTTCACGTGAGACCAACCTGTTTTCGTGAAACTCGTAAGACCATATTTTTACACATAAACTTCACAGCAAAAACACTATGAAGGTTTAAAAAAAGTCGAACTTTTACAGCAAAAACACTGTGAAGGTTAAAAAAAGTCACCTTCATAGCATTTTGCTGTGAAATTTTAAGTGTAAAAAGTTGGTCTCACGGGTCTCACGAAAATAGGCTGGTCTCACATGATTCCAAATATATATATATATACACTAACTAGAGGGTTGTTTGTTTATCTCTTAATAATTTCATTAAGAGCCAACATTTGAATCGTTAAAAGGTGAATATTGTTTGACAATTTTTTTTAACGGTTCTAAAACTCTCTGAATGATTTTGTATCATAGGCCTCCCTTAACCATTCAACGTTCTAATTTCATTGTAAACAATTATCAAACAATTCTATTTCGTTTTATACTATATCATGAGAGTTCTTAATAATTCTGACCACTTAATCATTTTGCACCAAACCATTAAACAACTACCAAATAACTCTAACTAAAAAATTGATCGTCTGAGTGAGAGAGAGAGAGAGAGAGAGAGAGTTATAGACGATGGATTGTGTGAAGATGTGAGTTAAAGGGTATAAACGTAAAAAAAATCTGAAAAGTTGATCCTTTTTAATCTCATAACACTGATTTTCAATTAGGATTGATAAAATCTTGCAGATCTTTTGTCACATCTCTTACGGAACCTAACCCAAAAGTTACCCAATTGGGTTATGTGAGAATGTCAATTTAAGGGTAAATTTAAAGTTACACAATTGGGTTATGTGAGAATGTCAATTTAAGGGTAAATTTGGAACACGAAATTGTGAAATGGCGCGGTACTGAAGATGCAATATTGTGAAATGCGGATAACTACTAATTCCGATAATCACGGCTACATTATCTCCCAAATCAGTTGAAGATATCGATCCATTTGGAGAACGCAACTACAACATGGAGACGCCCATGGTTTCATTAATGTAAGAAATCGAGGTCAAAGAACATTTGATTCTTTGTTTTGGAAAAAAATTCATTAAATACTAATTTTATGTGTTTGAATCAATCAGTTCGCAAGAATATTGCTGAAAATTTTCGTTTTCTAATTTCAAGAATGCCGCGTCAAATCCMGTGTTGATAGATGTTTGAAGATGAAGAAAAYAGTGACGTCAAGCCCTCAAGAAGACGCATTGATATAACAACATATGTTCARAGAAGACAGAAGAGGTTAGAAAAAATAACTTTTGTTGTGTACAACAGGTGTTTGATGATATGCTGCTTCACTAATTGGGTTCAGATGAATCTGGATCTACTGAAATTGTGTTCATCTATTGAACAATTGGTGAATCATTTATGTGTGTTAATAAAAGGGTTGTCAGGATCTATGGTGTTGATCATATACAGGTCATGACAAAAGGGTAATGAGGGGTGCATTATGATTAGTATCTTCAAGAAAAGAGCATAAAGATGGTTTTAATTATGTGCTGTATTCTTGACAAAGTATATTATCCGTCACTTTCTGTCCCTCATGAGCATACACACATTCACTTCTGCATGAATTATTGTATGTCATTACTTGTTTTGACCATCTGATTTCATGGTTTTCTTGAAAACGTCATGGTATTAAGTACCATATTCTTGACAAGAAAAATCTTAGTGAAGGTCACTCTCGTTTTTTTCCCTTTACGAATTGTACACATGCACTTCTACATGTATTGATTGCATGTTATGCACATCAACTTTAGAGTTCAGACCCTTGGGTTGTCCTCTCCCCATCTCTCCTCATCTTTTCAAGAAGTATCCTGTGTTGAATAGGTATCATGTTATATGTTTTATCTTTTCCATCAAACGAAGCATCTTATTTAGGACCTTCAACTAATGACAAGCTTCCAGAGGTAGCATGCTAATTGACGCGGGGTTCTTGGATTTCTATATAGAGGATGATTTACTGCCCTTGACTGGTTCCGAGTTCTGATGATGTGTATTGATTAGAGCAATTTCGTATGGAAGGCCTTCGGCTGCGATCCAAGTACAGGGAAATGACACTGAAAAGAATCCTGTATCTTATCAGATATGTTCCCAAGTGCCACCAGTTTTGGTTATAATTTTATAGTTTGGTGTGCGTTCTCTCCTGGTCTCTGGCTCTAGGTTTAGTATCATGATAATTTACTTCTTTATTTGTTAACATTGACCTAAATTTTTAACCATGTGCCTTGCCAGTTGGAATTTCCCAGGAAGTGGAAGATAAGAAGCAGCTAGTCCTAGGTTCATAATTCCCTTTTGAATACAAGTACTTTTCTAATGCAACAATTCAATTCTACTTATTTGATTTTGAGGTTCTGAGAGTCAACCATAACAATTTATGTTTTTGTTGATTTCGACCTTCATACGGTTTCTACAATTAACCTATGGTAGTGTCTATGCAYCAACCTTTTCATTTTGGACATTTACACTACATAGGTTTTCGTGTTTTTAGCTAAATGGATTGGTTTTAAAATAAATCTATGTTCATTTTCCATGCAAGGGTATAACATAGTATTTCAAATTCGAACTACATTGTTGCCTTTTTTATTGAATAATTTTGACTTTTCAAGTTGTTGATTTCCATGCTTGTTTGAATTTGAGGTTCTAATGGTCGTCCCATAACATTTTCTAGTTTTTGGTTATTTTGACTTCACCCAGTTTATATATTTAACATTTGAAGTAACGTGTTGTGCCCATGCACTAATCTTTTAATGGAACTTACTAACAGCAGATGTGCTTTTATCCTCAATCAGATGGTCCAGTCACGGTTGATGGTAGCTTTAGACATTTGGTTTGTCCTCTTTTCATATTTTCTACAAGTATCTTTGTGTGGAATACATTTTGTCTTTTCAATCAAAAGAAGCACTTTATCTAGGATCTCCAACTAATCTCAAGCTTCTGAGTTCCGAGGTAGCATGATGATTGATGCTGGTTTGTGTGGATTTCTAGAAAGTGGATGATTAACCGGTTCAGAGCTCTCCTTAGGTATAATTTTGACCCTTTTCAGTAATTGAATTATGCCTTATATTCAACTTCTGAAGAAATAGCCTTGTGTCCTTTTCAATTTTTGAGATTTTGACTTTTATACCATTATGGTTTTAACATTTTTAGTTAACTGGATTGGTTTTTAGCTTTATTCANAGCCTTGTGTCCTTTTCAATTTTTGAGATTTTGACTTTTATACCATTATGGTTTTAACATTTTTAGTTAACTGGATTGGTTTTTAGCTTTATTCATTTTATGTCCGTTATTTAGTTTTTTAACGAAGCATTTTGTCTTTTCAAGTTGTTCACTTCCCTGCTTGTTTGATTTTGAGGTTCTAGAAGTCATCCATAAACTTTTTTTTTTTTTTTTTTTTAATTTTGACCGTCATATGGTTTTAATAACTTTTCAAGTAAAGGGGTTATGTACATGCAGATTTTTTTTTTTGTAGATTTTCACTTTTATACTATCTTGGTTTTGACATATTCATTTAAAGATGAGGGATCATGTGAGGACAAGAGTTATGGTGAGAACACTATTGAGCCTTTGGTCATGATGATAAAAAAAAGGCAACTAGAAGTAGTTGGATGTGGATGAAGTATATGAATGTTTTGTTCTCACATTCTCAGTATAACTCTTATTCATAGCGGAACCCAACCCTTTAGTTGAATGGATTGGCTTTGACAACTTCTGTTCCATTTGGGTTTAATGTCCATGCACGAGATCGGACTTTGTATTCTATATTCGAACTTCATTGTTGTCATTTTTTATCGATTAATTTTTGACTTTTAAGTAATTGGATTGTGCCTATGTATAATCTTTTCCACTCTTGTTGGCGTTTAGTTCTCTACATGTTGATTTTAAGGTTCCAAGAGTCATCCGTAACTATTTTCTGTTTTTTGTTGATTTTGACATTGATATGGTTTTTATACTGTTTTGGTTTTCACATTTTTTTGTTAAAATAGACTGGATTTAAACTTTATATTCAATTTGCCTATATAGTTGTGTTGAACTTACATTGTTTTCTCGAATTTAAGAGAAAAGAAATAAAAAGAAAGTAAAGGAAAAGAGAGATTTTTTTATTTGTGTTCTTGAGAGCTGTGAGAATACATGGAAGCCCCAAATCAGTCTCCAAAAGAGCCCTTGAGGAGAAAGGGAAGGTTCCGACGTATATATAGGAGAAATGGTCCAAGTCTAGCCGATGTGGGACTCCAACAATAGTGAAGGGAGATTTTGGCTTCTATACCATTCTGGTTTTGTCATTTTTTGTTTGTTAAATAGAGTGGTTTTAAACTATATTCAAATGGATTCTCCATGCAAGGGTGACGAACTTAATATTCTAAGTTTCATTTTGTTGTTGATTTCTTTAATCGAGTAATTTTGACTTTCAAGTTGTTCGCTTCCCTGCTTGTTTGATTTGAAGGTTCTGAGACTCATCCNAGTAATTTTGACTTTCAAGTTGTTCGCTTCCCTGCTTGTTTGATTTGAAGGTTCTGAGACTCATCCATAGCCTTTTCCTAGTTTCTGTTGATTTTTACCTTCATACATTTTTTGTAATTAACTTTTGAAGTAAGGGGGTTGTGTTCGTGCACGATCTTTTCATTTTTGTAGATTTTAACTTTTATACTACTTTGGTTTTGACATGTGTAGCTAAATGGATCGGTTTTGACTTTTGGTCCGTTTGAGTTTATTGTCCATGTACAGGATCGAACTTTGTATTTTAGATTTGAACTTCGTAATTGGATTGTACCCTACGGCAAAATCTTTTTCACTCTTGTTGTCCTTTCTCTACTTATTTGATTTTTGTGGTTCTGAGAGTCAACCGTACAATTTGTGTTTTTGTTGATTTCGACTTTCATATGGTTTCTACAATTAACCTATGGTAGTGTCCCGTGCACCAAGCTTTTTCATTTTGGACATTTTGGACATTTTGGACTTTTATACTACATTGGTTTTCACATTTTTAGTTAAATGGATTGGTTTTAAAATAAATCTGTGTTCATTTTCCATGCAAGGGTATCGAACTTAGTATTTCAAATTCGAAATTCCTTGTTCACTTTTTTATTGAATAATTTTGGCTTTTCAAGTTGTTGATTTCCCTGCTTTTTTATTGAATAACCTATTCTAGTTTTGGTTATTTTGACTTCATCCAGTTTATGTATTTAACTTTTGAAGTAACGCGTTGTGTCCATGCACTAATCTTTTAATGAAACTTATTAACAGCAGTTGTGCTTTTATCCTCAATAAGATGGTCCAGTCACGATTGATGGTAGCTTTAGAGCATTGGCTTGTCCTCTTTTCATCTTTTCTACAAGTATCTTGTGTGGAATACCATTTATCTTTTCAATGAAAAGAAGCATTTTATCTAGGATCTCCAATTCCGAGGTAGCATGATGATTGATGCTGGTTTGTGTGGATTTCTAAAAAGTGGATGATTAACTGGTTCAGAGCTCTACTGATGTATAATTTTGACCATTTTAAGTAATTGAATTGTGCCTTATATTCAACTTCTGAAGAAATAGCCTCGTGTCCTTTTCAGTTTTTGAGATTTTGACTTTTATACCATTATGGTTTTAACATTTTTAGTTAACTGGATTGGTTTTTAGCTTTATTCAATTTATGTCCATTATAGTT